AAAAGATGAAATTGTGCAAACGATGAAATGAAAGTTGTAGTTGTGTGGTGAGCCAAAGTATCGTTTGCAACTTGAAAACTGACCTGGTCTCAAGCTACCTGCGCCAGCCACTGAGCCCGCTACCAGCAGGGCTATTAGCAATCATGAATTCCATGTTTCGGGTGAGAACATCTCGCCCCCCTTTGAAACGCCTGTTCCACTGCTCATGGGCCGGGAAATTTGCGTTCGAATATTCTTTGAGAAACGGCTGCGTGACCTCAAGGTGTGAACCCCCAAACATTGATATATATAAATATAGAAGTATCGTTAACCAAATATTTCAGTAAGGCATTCACCAATCAAAGTGGTGGCTTCAATGTTTATCATTGAATTATCCTGTGATATTATGATTCACACAGCAGGAATATATTCTTCAAAAAAGAATGCGCAAATGGCACGGGAGGGTTTCATTTAGGGGGTTCGCCGGCATTCGCCCGCAGGTTCCCACCTGCAACTGACAGCACTGCTGTTCCCTGCGCTTAATCTGTACTTCAGCCTAGCGCCGGCAAAACGGCACCAATGCCATTTGTTACGCTCTCTCTCTCTCTCTCTCTACCTCTCTATCTATATCTACATACGATATCATATGATGTAGTTGAGAAAGTGTGAGGGGGAAAGGAGCAGTTCCAACATCAACAAAAGAACTGAGACGAGCTGCTTTGCTTTGTCGGGTCACACTGCGTTCCAACTGGCCACGCTGCGAGTCGGCATGAAGTAGAAAATGGTAGCAATGCAGCAAAGGAAAAGGTCCAATGTCTTCAGTTGGACGCAAAGACGCGGGTGCCATGTTTCAGGCCGCCTCCTCAATCATTTTGGACCTAGGCAGTTTGGCAAAACTGCTGAATTTCCTGGTGCAACTCGGGGGGAATTAGGGAATGCACCGCAGGTGGTCCAAGGATCCCCTGAAGACCCTCATGGTGCCATACCGGGAGAATTCATTGATTCCCTGCTAGTCAAACCAAACAGAAAGCAATGGCCTCAGTTCTTTTCTTGATTCTTGGACACATCTTCCGTTTTCACGCAAATGAGTCAATGTTCCACACAAACTTCTTGGACAACACAAGGCATAGTGGCAGCTCATTGAGGACCCTGCAAGCTGTTCATGCGGCGGCCCTTCTCTGAAAAGGCCTTGGCGCGAGCTCCGTCCCCACGCTTGGACACTACACGTTCTGTATCTTCCGGTCGTTTGCTAGAAAAACAACATATTTTCTACCCAAAGAGAACCATCTGTTGACCATGATACTCTGCGGCCTGATTGATTCCCACTTTCTGCATCTTTCCGCAGGACGTTTTTTGCATCTGTCTTGGATACTCCTCGCTGATGACTAGCATACTACAAATATGAATTGGCAACTGACGCACGACGCACTGAACCACAGCGACTAACTTCAATACTTTGGAGACATGCCGGCAATCCGATCTGACCCCCTGCCATCATATTTCTTGCCTTGCTACACTGATGGGTTTGTAGACCAAGTCAGTTGCTCACCTATGGGGGGCAAGAGCAATGCATCGTACCCGTGCCTCCAAAAACATCTTCGCTGAAAACTCTTCCACATTCATGTCCTCGGAACGTTCCACCGGGCCCACGCACTCTCAAAAGGCATGCGGTGTGCAGTGAATGCGCCAAGCTTGCAAAGGCGCTTGGTCTACTTCAAACTAGTCTTTTTTGATGGATGTCCGAAGACAGTACCAGGATATATATAATTATGTCCTGATAGGCTACAAGCTGCAAGCTGGCTTCTTCGTGTGGCTGCCGATCAAAACCCAGAACCCATAAACATCCAAAAAATTAGCAAAATAGACCAAAGATGACCAAAGTAGTAGACTCATGCAAACATGCCAAGTCATTGTTATTAAGTTATGGAGGTCTGTCCATAGCGATTCTGATGAATTGCAAGGTTGTTTGAAAAGCACCTTAGTGCACGCATGTGCACGCCAGTTTGGGAACACGCCAGTTTGGCCGGACATCATACCGGTGGCAAAGATCCTGCCCAAGTAATAACTGTTTGAGACGTCCGTCATAGATTCCCAGGCCCCTCGGCCTCTCCAACTCTTCCCACCTTTGCAAGTGGAGCTGCCTACCACGAGCGGAGCGGCGCTATCACACACGGTGCCACTGAGGAAAGAGCCGTGGTGGGAAAGACATGTTTGATCACTTGACGTTTTGATGAGACATTTCGGTCAGGTTTTGCAGGTGTTGTGTCCGACTCTTTCATCCTGGTGCAGATCATGTCTACGAAATCGAAAAGAAGTGATCGAAAGACGGAAGAAACCTGTTCATTGTACCAGGGACCCTCGGTCACCCATTGCCCGTTCACATGTGATCCACACTCAGATTGAGATTGGTCTCTAAGCATGGGCCACAAATGGCCACGAGCCATTGGGTGCCATTGGGCCATGTCGTCATCATGTGACAAGGCTTGCTTTCAGGTGTGTTTGGGGTGTTTCAACATGTGTCAACCACCCATGTGCACCCACAATTCCAATTCTGTGATAAGACTTGACCCATCAACTGCAAAGAACAACTTCTATTTGCAAGGCCAACTTCACAGCAAAAAGACCTTCGTGGCATGGCTGGATTGCAGGTGAGCCGCGACTCTCTTGGCTCGTACTCCCACTGGTCTCCCATAGCAACGAACCCGAAAGACAAGATCCCTCATCAGTGGTCGTATATGTCAATCTTCGTTTTGAAGAGAATGCACCTTCGTACTTTTCCAGTGTTCACCAAGCACATGATCCAAAGGAGCCTTCACCAAACTGCATCCCACACTGGTCCCCACAGGGCCTTTGGGAAAGCTCCTTCCTTTGCAGCCTGAAATTGCACGCAGCTGCAACTGTGGAAAAAATAAACATGAAACAAGTATCCCGTGATGTCCCTGCGGATTGATTCACAAAGCTTGCACAGGATTGACTATCATCCGTCCCGCAACAAACCTGTCAGTTCATATCCGAAAAGAGCAACAGGAAGAGCTCTGAAAATGACAGGTGCAACTTGGATCTGTCAAAGGTGAGACATGGTCCAAAGGAACTTTCCAGATGGCATGGAATTAGTGAAAATATTCCTTAAGTGATTACAAAGCCAACTTTCCCATCTACGGTACGGGCCTGTTTTGCTTCCCTTCGAGCTTGCTCCTGTGGTTCGAGATACAAATGGACTGTAATGCTACGTAGCACCAAAACAACACCATCTTCTGGGTTCGTTCGGCGAATCCCCTCCAGGAAAAGTCCGGCATTCGATTCCTTTGATCCTCTGTGCAAAAGCCGCCGTTCCAAAGTTCCAATGTCAGAGGGCAGAAAACATATCGGCATTCTCAAGGAGAAGATACAAAGCCCTCCAAACATATCCCAAATCCTTTGAGCATCGCATCATGCCGCTCATCACAGGTGATACTACACAAATTAGGTCAAACCGCTTCGGTTTCACTTTTTCTCAAAAGTTCAGGGTACCTCACAAGAGCTCGCAGCCATCCGAGTAGTTTCTCCAACAACTCGGACGTTGCTGAACCAAATGTGCAAAAAAAAATTGCAAGGCGAGGTCGTGAGGTTGGTGGGCTTCCCCCTTGGGTGTGTACGACCGCTTGTGATCCGCAGTCTCTTCGACGTGCCATTCGCTCGTTGTCCACATTTCCCTGGCCTGTTCAGCGATGGCCTGCGAGGAGATGCATGTCAGGGACGAAGGTCATCTGTTTGGAATATGACGGCCATGTTGTATCAAACCATCAAAGGCACATCTGTCAGGACAGGTTTGGCGAGGGCAAATGAGAACAGCAAACAGCGGGAAAGTAAAACAATCCTGACGAGCAGCATGGAACGGTGACTTGTGAGGGACCACTCATCAGAAACACTGCCCAAACCATCCGTCGTGCTCACTCCCCTGAGGGACTTCGCCCGGAACCCGCATAGCTCAATCAACAGTCCCCTTGGGACGAGGATTTCATCCGTCCATATCCGTCCTCTTCCAAAGATCCATCTTCCAAGGCTTTCAACAAGTGCCCTTCAATCCTGCGCCCAAGACTGAATGGGGCGGGAGGAGAAAACATGCTTCACGATCTTTGGAGGTTTTCAAGAAGCTTCCATTAAAAGAAGCAAAGTACTACCGCGATGGAAAGTACCACCGCGTCAACACCCCAAAGATATCCAAAGATCGCTTATGGCCGAGTGCAAGTGTTCAATTCGTTTTGATCCACAAGGAGCTCCCAGGGCCATAAATCACCGCTGTGGCTAGGCACCTAGACCAACCTAGACCTCCCAGTGACCTGGGCACTGAACTGTTGCGCCAGGCAAGATACCCGGAGCCACGCCCAGTTAATCATTAGTGCGAGACTGCGAGAGTGAGCTATCCTGCGTCCTAGCTAGGAGCTTCCTATTGCCAGGAGCTTCCTTCTCCCTTACTTGATTAAGTAGGCGCCCACTTAATTCAGCGAGGCAGGGCCGAGCGGGCTAATGGGCTAAAAGAAAACGAAAGCAATCTTCCACGCCAGCTCTGGCAGGTTCCATGCGCTCATCTGAATCGTCAATGTCCTTCTGAGCGCATTTTCTTCTTCACCTGCCGGAATCCATATCGATCAGTCCTAACACCCGTTCCATGTGGTCATCCGGCGGGTTACACCTGTCACCGGATGCTCAAATTCTAACATCCTCACTTCAAGCCGCCCAAACACAGCTGGCAGCTGTGCTCTTCTCAGGTCCCAATGTCCCAATGAATGGGACTGATTTCTCAAGTCTTTCCTTACCTGCCTAAATCAGTCCTCAAAAAATTGGCCCTTCGCAGTTCGAAGCAGTTTCCAATGCACATTCGGAACCCCTGAATGGGCAACAAACGAGATGCCACAAATGGACAAGCTCTCCTGCATGGCCTAGGGCCTAATTTAATTAAGGACATCACACTCTTGTTCCCATGCAGGCTTGGGTGTGAATCTTTAGTCTCGGAAATCATGTAATTATATCTATTATGGGGTCGCCATACACTTGGCCAGCAGCAACTGTACTTTGGTTACTTCGACTCGCTTTCATCTTTTTGCTCTTGGAAGTCACGCAACAGGTGCAAAGCCAGCTGCCAGGCAGCATCCTTCTCACAAGAGCTCACCAAAGCACCATAGCTTGTAACGTCTGGTCTCAACTTCCTTCGCATCGCGGAGCGGGTCATTGCGCATGACTATGACCAGCCAAAGTGCGACAGGTGACAGGTACTCCACGTTGCCGGAAAAATGCTATGCCCTAAAAAACAGAAAAACCCACATAAACACAAGGAATACCCGTCCACTTTCGTATCTCCACAACAGGTGATCGCCAACACCTCCTGCACCTGCAGGATGTGAACATGACTATACCAGGCAATACCAGGCAACTATATATCCTGCCTAGAATAATGGTGGGTGGAAGTCCGCTCACCTTTAGGGCATTTACGTGATATATCGCTTACATTAGGCAATCTGGCACCTTCACACCACTTACACTCTTACACTCCGCCAAACGATCTACATGGTAGCGCACATGGTATTAGTTCTTGCTTCTTGGGGCCCTGAAAAGAGTTGTGAATCCTCCCGGCCTCGATCTCCAGTAGGCGGATGGATCAATATCCTTCAACATTCACATGGAAATTGTGTAAGTTGTAAGGCATCCCAGCAAAGAGGCACAGGGAATCGATCGTAGATTGAAACAATTCGTCAAAGACTTTCTTAAAAGGGATTTTCAGAACAAACAATATTGATTCTTGGAGATCATGAGCTGTCATGAGCTCCTTCTAACTTGTATTCTGACCTTGTCCAAAACCACCTGGTTCAGTGACGAATTGTCTCACAAGAACACTCACCGGTTGGAGGCGAAGTTTTCCCGAGACAAAGCCAATCCACCTGGTTCAACAAAGAAACACAAAGAACACCGCTAACAAACAAACAAGTTGTAGGTAGGAACGGAAAACAAGTCCAAATCAAAAAATCCTTTAAACAATCATATCTTCGAGGTTCTGAGACATTTGTAAGAAGAGATGCAAGGCTAGTGGCCAGCGAGCGCCTTTCTCGCATGAGCTGATGATGGCATTGTAGGTGATAAGGTCGGGACAAATCCTCAGCTATGACCCCGCCATCAGCCATCCTATCAGCTACTAGGAACAAAGGGCATCGCTACTAGGAGCAAGGACGCTACTAGGGGCTCCTGGCCTTACTACTGGGAGCAAGAAGCCACTAGGAACAAAGGGCATCGATACAAGTAACAAGAACGCTGCTAGGGACACCAGCCATCAGCCACCCTATCAGCCCGCTTGAGGTTGCAGGTTGCTTGAAGGGCACATTTTGTTACAGAAGGGTTACCCGGCTGGGCAGATCACAATAGAGCACTATAGGCCGCTACAGTAGATCTCAGAAAAATGAGAAACGTCTTTGATGACCCGAGAATCTGCATTCTGGACATGTCCCCAAACATGTCAAGAGCCTTTCGCCACTTTCCCACCTTCTCATATGCACTGATCATCGCATTCATACTCACAACATTTGGAGTGGTTCTGGAGCTCATGAGGTGAAAGAGTTGCAGCGCCCATTGCCACTGCCCATTCTTGCCACAGGCACTGATGGCAGCACTATAACTGAACCTATCAAAGAAGCACACAGCACCAGTCTGCTGAAAACCAAGGGTAACATATATAGTTTTCCAAAACAAACCAAACTATTTATTGCAGTCGCCGCCCATAAATGGTCGAGCTGAGCTTGGTAACAGTAAAAGACCCAAAGTATTCAAAATTTCCAAAGCCGCGATAAACAAGGCCTGGGTTCATCCCCTGACCATGTCTTGCACATGGTGGGTTCTTTTACGTGAACAAGGGGGAAGACTGTCGCCCACACGGAAACGAGCCGCTGCCCCTAAAGACCGAAATGGTTCATCACTGGCTCACTAGGGATGGTCGGTGCCTGTTACTCTTTCATTGATTCCGCATGCGAACGCCACATCCAGGAAACCCATTCGGATTGATCCTCATCGTCGTCATGGCAAACAGCAAAGCCAGGCCCAGTGTCCAGTGACCCCCTTGCTCACAGGCACTGATGGCAGCACTGTAGCTGTACACATTTGACTCTACCTTCGCACTCTCCATCGACCTGCCGACAGGGGGAATCGGCCTTAGCAAGAAGCTATTTAGTAGCTCCTGGCCTTAATACCAGTGACAAGAAGCTACTAGATGCTACTAGTAACAAAGGGCATCGCTACTAGGAACAAGTGCCTTACTAGTAGTACAGTAACAAGTGCCTTACTAGTAGTAACAAGAAGCTACTAGTAACAAAGGGCAACCATTTTGATTGGGGATGATTGGGACATATTGGGACTGCCCCAGCCAGTTCGTGGGAACTCCCAAAGACCCGAGCCAATCTGGCCAATGTTGTAACATGGAACTGTCCAACTCCAACTCACAAACGATTCCGCTTCTGCGGATCAACTGTGCTTCCTCCTTCCGATGATTTTTGTTGGGAGCTCCTGATTCCGTTTTGAAAAAGGCGCAGTGGCCCACCCCAACAATTATACAATTGCGATGGCCTCCACCCCAGTAGCGATGGCCTCCACCCTACTAGCGATGGCCCCCACCCCAGTAGCGATGGCCTCCAACCTAATAGCGATGGCCTCCACCCTAGTAGCGATGGCCTCCAACCTAAGAATGGCCTCCAACCTACTGGCGATGGCCTCCAACCTAAGAGCGATGGCTTCCAACAACCTACTAGCGATGGGCTCCACTCTACTAGCGATGACCTCCAACCTAAGAGCGATGGCCTCCAACCTACTAGAGATGGCCTCCACCCCAGTAGCGATGGCCTCCAAATCCACCAACCTAAAGGAACATTTTGCTGTCACGTTCCAAGAGGCCCAAAGAGTTGCAAGGCTGCTGTCCACTGGGAGCCCTTCTGGCAAGAGCTGATCGTTGAGCTGAATCCAACCACATCCGCCAGCGACGCACACTGCATCTCCTGTGGGGGCGCAGGGGCGAACGGAAGGCAGGCACCGCCTCACAGGAAAAAGGGCTAGTTGGACGAACGGCAGGAATAACCAGAATTGTAAGGACAAAATGGCAAATGGGTTCTAACGGGTTCTCTTGTGTTCTATTTGCTCACTGTTCAGGGATAATGTTGATCCAATTGACAGAAGGGGCTATGTTCTGTATCACTTTCCAGTTTCTCTTTCAGATTTTCGTAGTTGGACGACTTTTCCCGGCACATGTCCAATTCAAAGTGTTTCGAAAAAAAACCATGCCGACAAAACATGACATAATGACATAATTGCGATAATTGTTATATAGAGGACGTGCAAAGCGTGAAAAACTGGTATACTCCACATGAATCAATAGGAACACCCGTCCTATCTATTTTTGTGCAGGATCACGTCTCACTAGGGTCCAAGGTCCCTCTGAACGCAGTATCACCTGTGTCAAGTCCACAACTTTCTCAGCAGGTCATCGACCTTTCAAAACATAGCTTTTTCAAAAACAAGGGTCCGTGACCCCGGAGGGTCATCCGGAAATTCAAGAGCGACCCATATTGCCCTAGGTGCGTGATCTACAACGTTCATACCGAGGGACTTCCGACGTCCGACGTTCCTGGTTTTTATGCACCTGTGGGATATGCACTTCCTCTCTTCTCCCACCAAACCACTGGCCATTTCCTTCCACCGAGAACTCTCCACTCCTGAAACAGTTGCACTGCACATTGCCAGCGGCTGGCTTTTTCGCATGCACTGATTGTTGCACTGTAGTTGTATGAATTCCTCAAACATGGCCGACCGGTCGGGACCAAAGTCCTGAAACTTCTCTAAACGGGACGAAGGGTCCACATGTGGCCACAAAACGTCCAGTTCTTTGAACCCCGGATCCGTGAGTTGGACGCTTTGGCTTCGCACTTCGCCATTCATCTACATTCCAGGCAGCATTGATGGACGCAAGCGTGGGAGGTCGTTCAAGTGGGAGGTTGCAGCTTTGATCTTTGATTACCTGTACCCACTGGTGGCTCCTGTTCTCCAATTTCGACCCAGTACCCAGTACCGCGCTACCCATCACGTCGCCCAGCTTCGGTGAAAGACGAGCATGTGACATCGAATCGAAGATGAGGATGGCATCTTGCCACAGCTTTTCCCGTGCAACCAGAGTGATGCCTCAAAGCATCGGTCAATGGGGCACGTTCGCGTCCGATCGCTCTTAGTGCCAGTTTTTCCACACGTTTCTTCGACAACGACCTCAATGCAATCGTTTTGGGCATCTTGGGGTGTTTTAGTCGGTTTTCTGGGGAGAGTATTTGTCTCGAAGGAATCCAACCACTCCAGCAAATTTGGTTCGTTGGAATGACACATCCTGGTGAGTTGGATGACTCTATTTCCAAAGAAACACATAATGGGTGTTAGATTCTGATAGATTCTCTCCGTAGACAAGGATTCCAGTCAACCAGGGGATTGAAATAGATTGTGGTTGGACTAGAATCCTGGATGAGGAAATAACCCAAGACCCTAGACATGTCAATCGTTAACCACCAATACCTGGGGGTGTCACCGGTGTCACCCATTTAAGATATAGAGTTCTTTCATCCTGAATGACACATATCGAAACCATCAGATGACACGCCGCCTACAGTGTAGTTGCGCGCATCGAGCATCGTGCCAGCTTCCTTCCAAAGTGCAGCTGTTGGAAAGAAGCGGAGGACAAACCCAGTATGTCGTAACATAAATATGATAGTTTCTATGATTGATTGTACCATTCTCAACCAAGAGATGTATAATTAATAATGTGTGATATTGACAAATAGATGACCAATTACATGGTGCAAAGTGATGCTAGAATATACGTTGTACAAGATATCTGATGCAATCCTGCACTTGCTCTTAAGTACCACACATATATGATACTGTTGCGATCCTGTTAGACAAGTTCTCTGGCCCTGAGACCCGCGGACCTCACGGGAATCTCTTCCGGTACGAACAACTGGTGGATTGTTGGTATCAACACAACCAGAGCCCTTGGCTTTCCCTTTGCGCAGTACTGTATGGCACTATAAGACATTTGTCATTTGTGCTTTGAGTCCAACACTTTCTGCTGTTCTTATAGGACTGTCCACAATGCACAGGAACAGGGGCATTACTACTAGTAACTAGTAGCAAGAAGCTACTAGTAACAAGAGCATCACGACTAGGAACAACCAAAAACACAGTGTTCTCTCAGCTCTCCTGCATCAAATCCAGTACTCGTCGAACCATCTGAGGCGCCAGCCGCTTCCTCGAGGCACCGGTGCGTCAGCCGTAAACACAAATCTCCAAATATCCCTCGGGGAACAGAACCTGTCCGTTTCTAGACTCCAAGTGCCAAACCCCTTCGTTGTAGGGCCCATGTGATCCAGTTCAATGGCTACTATGTATATATGTTAATATAGTATATTTCTTTTTCTTCAAGATATTGTTATCTTTTAACATAGCATTTTACAGCTTACCAACTCTCCGCTTCTTGTGCTCTTTGCAAGTCTCCATCCTGCCAGCACGTTACCTTTTGTTCTTCCGTTGGGTACTGGGTATACACCCGGTTCTGCTTCCAACACTTGTGATCATTGATGGACAAAAATTTAACTTAAATGAACTTGGTTGACAAACCATTTGTACTCGTTGATCAAAAAAGGAATCAAAGAGTATCACATGTTGCTTCCTCCCTCCCACAGCCAGTGCGATACTTTCATCCTGAACCCCGTTGAACACCCCCGCCAACTCATGTGACCGCCACGTCCGCTGTTGGGCCAAGGGTCAACAGCTGAGCGGCCTCTGCACCGGATTGCTCCTAGTAGCGATGCTTGGTGCGGGTGCAAACCAAAAGCAAACAATCCACCGTAAGAACCAATCCACCGATTCCCAAGGTTACATTGCTTGATGCCTTCTATATAACTCTAACGGGCAGCCCCTTGCAGCAAAGAAAACACACATTCCCCACATGCTGATTCTGCATTAATAGCATCAACACAATATCAAGCGAAAAGAATATTCTGAAAACGCACACACACACACAAGACTGTAAGCGCTCGATCTAATTGCGACACCCCAAAGGCCTGAGTGAAAAAAGGTTCCTGAGTAAACCAAAAATTTATTATGAGTAAACCAAATATTTGGCAAGACGGCCCCAGCATCGTTAAAGTTAAGACTAAAACCCTCAACCTCCTTTAAACCCTGAAAGGCCTCAAGAAGCCATCAAAGACTCAACTACACACTCAAGTTCCAACGCATCAAATGCGTGACTGCTGACTCAAACAGATGCGAAGGCTGGAAAGATTGTTCTAGTCACAAAGGGGCCCACTGTGAATTGTCGACTTGGCAAAGGAAGATCCTTTCATTCTTTGGTTTCCTTTCAGCTGGCTGCAGCGGAACTGTCCAGCGTTGGGAAATTGATGACCACATAGTGAGAAGGAGAGTACAGGGCTTTCCTGTTTCTTCGAGTCTTTGTTGCATTTCTGTGGGTTTCTTCTCCGTTTAGCAATTTGTTGAGGTCTGTGTGTCCTCAGAAACTCTGAACATGAACCTATAGAAAGGATACAACATGTGGCCGTCAGCTGATGTGTGTGGAGTTTTATGTGGTACACACTATCCGTTTGAAACCCGCCAAGGCACATCACGGTGCAACACATCCAAAAGGGTCTGCGGACGAAGAGGGAATCGCATGGACTGAGGTGTCGTGCATCAGAATCAAATTCAGCAAGCCGGCATCATATGTGAGAGAATCCACACAATCCACACCACTTGGTTGGTATTCATTTGATCTCGCAACTGGTCAATTTTGCAAATGGTCTGAAATGGTCTGAATGAAACTCATCGTGATTCATTCTGCAATCACTTTACACTTGGGATCACTTGGGTATCAATGCTGGTTTTACCTTGTTTTGCCGCCACACCGAACTCATGCCCCATGAATCTCATGTAACGCATCAATCTGCCATGTCGACGCTTGGGCCAAGAAAGCTGCTTGGGTATGCTCTGACGGGAGCTCAGGGACGAGGTTTTAGAAATAGATTAAAATATATTAAAATCCAAGTCCAAATTGCTGAATCTCAAGTAGGACCCCTGCATCCTACCTGAAGCCTCACTTCACTCCAAAAAATCATGACTTCTGAATCCTAAACATTGACACAGGTGGCAGGATTTAGGAATACAGCAAAAGGCAGTAGCCTCCGAACCATCAGCAGCAAAAGCAACACTGACCCATGTTATCCACTTCAACTATGAACTACGGAACTATAATCATCAGCCCGCTGCGCATCATGAATAACTTCGGAGGCAAGCTAACCTGCCAATCATATCTATGGTCTATGGTGAAGGAGGGTTCCACAAGTTCTACAAATGAGTTCTTCGGGGGGGGGCAGTTCAAATTACTAGACCCTTCCCCAGTATGTCATCGGAGCTCCGCTGGGGCAAACTAAGCATGGAAGACAAGGAGAGGATTAAGGATCTTCACCTTCTGACTTGGCACGATAACACGATACCTCCAAAAAACCTCAACTTTTTCGCATCACATCCACAGATTCATCTCAACCAACCTAGTACTGTGCCATCCAAATACATTATGAAGCACTTGCCTTCCGAAAGTGAATCGTCGGATTCACCTCAATCAGCTCTGCCTAGTGCCAGCTGGTTGTGAAATCGACTCGTTCAATCGCGCCTCGATGTGACTCCTCCAAAGCCTGTGTGGGCGATCAACCGAACTAAGCACTGGTTCCTGCTGTGGAGCCCTGGAAAAATGCCAAGGACACCAGTCGAGGAAACCGGAGTCTTTACCTGAATGTTGTTTATTCTCAAAACCGTTCAAAGCAGTCGAGATTGGGTTTAGTGGAGCACTTCTTGCCGGGCCGCACATTTCCTTCGAGTAGAATGGAATGTGAGCGATAACAGAACAGGTTCCTGACAAAAACAGCAGGTAGTAAAGAACAACATCTTCTGAGGATGTTCGCCTAAGCAAATTTGGTGAGCGCAGGAAAATATAACAGCTCAACAATGCTAAAGTACTTCAGAGCTGGCCTGATTGAGCAAATTTAGGGATGACAATGACGAGCATCTATTTTTTCTGAGTGATAAAGGCAGTGCGTGTAGGTCGGGTTCGATTCCCCCTCTGCGCTTCCCTTCGTGATTCCGGTTTGGTGTTTTCAGTACTCTTGCGGACCAACAAACGGACCATGGGACTAGGCCTGCTTCTTGTTCTTTCGGATATTAATATTTATATCGAAGCAGCGATGACAACCTCGCGAGTACCCCGCCAAAATCCTGGCTAATGAACCGGAGCAAGGGATGCCCAGGTAACTGCCTGAATGGAAGTGCTTCAAAGAAACAAAGGTGTGGTGATGAAGCGATGTGACTTGGTGATTTGATGCCAGTTCCTTTTTATTGCTCCTAGTAGTATGGCCAGGAGCCCCTGATTTGATGTGATTTGTGCTTGATGTGGTGGCTTTTGCGCTGCCACACCGTGGGTTTTGGAAGTGGTAAGGTGCAGTCGGATGGGTGCTGCCCACTGGCACCAGCACCCATCCGGGTTCGTGGGTATGGAGCCGCCTGCGGCTTTAGCTACCAGCTAGGGTGCCTGACTGTACCACAAAGCGTGTTGGAGGGATTTGAAACGCTGAAACATGCTTGAAAGTGCGTGGTGTTGTTCAACATGTCTGCCTGAAAACGGAGGGGCAGTCTTTTAGGAATAGGCCAAGCGGCGGCGCAAAAGGAACGCTGCTGAAGAGAAACGATTTCCTTTCCGTGTCTTTCTGGCGGCAACCAGTCCCTGGGATGTACGCAGCTCCTACAAGAAGACCAAAGATCAACTATTTTCTGTTTTCAGTCGTCAACGCAGGGCTGAACTGTCAGGGCTATTTGGACGTGGGTAAACCGTGTGCGATCTTGAAAGGTCCTACTAGCACGCGTCCTGTATGAATGTAGGTTTCGATATGCGCGGAAACGATATTTTGACAGCCCAATCCAACTCTATTACTTGTCACCTCTCACAGCACAAGGCAGCTCCGGCGGGCTTGCCCTCTCAATACTGTTTTGCGAACAAAACAAGTGTTCAGTGGCAGAATTTGCGTCTCGGCCTAAAAGACGTGTGAGAGATGGACACAAGACGGTGAGGCTCCGCAGCTTTTCTTTTCCTTCTTTGTCGGTTGCACAAAGACCCTTTGCCCTCGTTGCCGCCTTCTGCAATGAACCGTCTTCCAGCGAGTGAAGTAAGCTGTCCTTCAGCCTCAGGGTGATGTCGACGTCAGTTCGGTTGGTTGACGTTTGTGGTGGTCTCCTATGATTGAACAACTCGATAGTAAAAGTATCATCTTTTGACACACTGAACTCAAGAAGGACGCAAGACAATTGAATTGAATGCGTCAACAAAGCAGGAGCCAGCACCAACAGAAAAAGCTGTACACAGTCAGCCAAGCGTGACAAACAGCCTGAACAACATGGCACTATTTATGATGTCTCAGCATTTGGACGCACCGAACTTTTGCTGAGAGCGTTCTGACCAAAAGGGTGAACTGTGCGAGTTGTGCATCCCAATGTCTGAGGCAAAAACATCTTCCTCCACTCGTCGGATTCTGGCAGGATGCAAAAGGGACTTAATTTGAAAACAACAGAATCGCAGCAACTTAGCTCCGCCGATCTCTGATCACGACCAGTCGCTAGCAACTGGTAAAGCGCCATGCCAAGTCTTTTGGTTGGCTCAACTGACTGTGGGGAAAGTGTGATGTGAACCTCGTTCGCGCCGTCATCTGGCCCGGATAGAAAACTGAAGGGGGACAAGAGAACGAATTGTTGCCTTTTCCTGAGCAAAAATCCCAATTGTCAGATAACGGACGAAATTAGCACAAACTTGGAACCAGATTTGTGGTCGTTTGTGGTAAATGGCACTGATAGGAAACTGGTTTTTGCACTTATGACTCCCTCCAAAATTAACACTAGCTTCAGCATACCAAAACTCGGTGAGTCTCAGGCTAGCTTTTGTGGCGAAAGAAACACGCACAGACTTTCTATCGACAACTTCGGCTGCCTTGGAAGGTCCTCTCCTGGCGGCGGGACCGCAGCAACTCACCACTGATACACTGGAAAATCACTTTCCTGTACTACAGAGTCTTTTCGCTTCCATGTGTATTTCTTTCAAAGTTTGGCCAGTCCTTAGCCATCAAGTCAGTACCCTGAAGATATAACTACTTAGAGATGTGCGATGCTATCTCACTTGGCAAATCTCTGGTTTGGGCAAACCGCACAGCAACAACGGCAAGGTATTAACTTTGTGGGAGGCACGTCTAGCACTGAACGCATGGCCAGCTCCAAGTTGCCATCATCCACAGCCTGCGATGTGCAATCAGCCCCGTGTGGCGAGGGTTTTCTCCTGAATGGACCCCCAACTATCTTTTTATCTACCAGGATTGCGCACCAAAGCTGAACACAAAGGTAGCTATGAAAATTGAGTGAAAATGTTAACCCGCACTGTTGGATACAAAGCAGCCTTTTGCTCCAACGAGGCGAGTCTGAAGAACAGGCATGATTCACTCCAAACTCTGTGGCTGCTCATTTTACGGTGTTGCTCGGTTTAATTGCGAGTTCCTCGCACTTGGAAGAGTCACTATTGAGTCTGGTGTCAAACGTACAAGCGAAGAAATGATCATCGCATGGACGGGGAGAGACTTGTGAGATGACATCCAACCCCAGTAGTGCATAGAAGCCACCAAGACTGCAAAGAAAAGACTCATCTTACATCATACTATCGAAATGGGCCATGACAGCTTGTGGGATCACATGAGCCTGAGAAAATCTGCCACCCGGGGGACTTCCGTGTGCGGTGAGAGGTGATGTTTGCTCCTGAAATTTTCATCTTTGGATAGCTGGGTCATGCTGGGTCCTTCGAATCACAAGTGGATCAGAGTGGATGATTAATAGACGTCTTTAGTGAAGAGCCCATGGCATCCAGCTCCTGTGACAGGGCATTGGCCATACGTCTCCGCAAGGCATCGAGGGGCTCCTGGGCCATGTTGGACCCGCCAAGGTAAAACAATGTGTAGCCATTGCCCTTACGTTGGAGGCCATCGCTATTTGTGATCTGCAGATCTTGGAAGACATTGTTTCTGCAACACCTCCAGCCGCTGCGCTGGAACTTTGGGTGGCTGTGTTTGTCTTTCTTTATGTCTGAATACAACCATTTTACTGCAAATACATGATATGGTATGTTGATGTGGGCGATTCTCTTTGTGCCCGAGAAGCATTGGTTTGTGCGCTACATCTTTACAATTTGGTCGAAATCAAACACAACAAATATCAACAGCCACTGGTGCTGCATACGGAGAAAATACAACTTGTACAATGGTTACTCTCCATGAAGGACCAACCATTTCAATGATCCGGTATGACTTCACCCAGTTACGCACAAGCTCACACCAGCCCATAGATCCCATAGCGACAGATTTGGTGGATGTTAATCCAAAACATGTCAACAGGCTTCATGGATGTTCGGACCTGCGCTTATTGTTGCTGCTTTGCCTCGTTCACTACTTGCAAGACTAGGTCAGGTAGACGTGTTACACAAGGCTGGTCGGAAAAGAGCATCTTAGCTTCATGATGAGGCGAAGATTGGGATCCCCTAACTAGTGAGACTCTTTGTGCCGGCCAGTCAGGCCTGCTCCTTGTCCACCTGTTGGAAGAGATTGCCACAATCACAGTGCTACACGCAAACAAGCTCAAACATATCTTGTGCTGAAAGCTGGA